CAGGTAGTCTGCTGTTCTGTGCGTTCTTTTGCAAAAAACATTACTTATTGTGCAAACAAACACCTTATTATTCTGCATACAATCAGGTTCAATTTACGCCAAAAGCATCAAAATGCCGCTGTCTAAATTTTCCCCTGGTTTTCTTTTGGTTGTATTTATTTCGAGTCAAGAAATATTTATTTGAACGTTATTACACAGCACCTAACATGCACTTCTTCACTCAGAGGGCCTGTGTCAATGTGAACCATACATTTCAAGTCATTAATTAACTGCTTGGTGCCTGAAACGCATGTGTACTTGCGGGTACAGTTGTATACAAAGCTGCTGATGGCTTTGCAGCGTGTGTGTACACAACATTGTGACAAAACGCAACAACCATCAGAAGTGGTAGAATAACCTAATTCTTTAGAAACATGAACATGTTACTCCACGTATGCATTTTGCTCACTTTATAGGAGTGGTTGCGCTTTTCGAAATGTTATGATGTCTTAGATTGCAGTAACAAAGACCCTATTCTGTAAAAAAAAAAACGTACGAGGCATCAGTGTGCTCTGGCGGACCTATCACTTGAACTAAACGCCAGAGTATTGGTATAGCACTTCACACCTGAGGTTGTGTTTTTGTGCTTTTTATATGACCGCCATTACAAACTTGGTGCTCGTGTGTGTAGGTCACGGACAGGCGAGTGGAACATCCAAACAGCCCTCACCAATTGCAAAGGGTGTGATGCACCTGTTTGGTGTCTTAGCATTTAAATCGAACCAGTTCATCTATAACAGTTGGCCGTACTTTAGCAGCAAGCTTGTCAGAGGAATACACGTCTATGGTAACTGAGCTTACAACTCACAGAATCAACTAATCCAATTTCTTTTCGTGGCAAAATAATATTGTATCACCTATATCTGATTTCCTTTCCAACTTTACGGACGACTCGAAAAATTGTCCACTTGCAATTATTTGTTGAGACATATTATCATCAATCTCTTCACGATACACTCTTTAGTTCATTGTAGTACATGTCCCACCACATTGATCACCGCCATGATGCAGGTTGTCCGTTTCAAACAAGGTAAACATTCTCGGGATCAATTTTATGATGCACATTGATCCTTCCTGCAATAAATGCATCAATTACCGACATTCAACAATAACGCGAATCATTAACCAGCGCCGTTGAAATGATGGTTGTATTACTTTATTGTTCCTATTATTGACAGTATTTCCTAATACATTATGACGTTTAGGGTTCCAAAACCTCGGTATGATTCTGAAAGACGTCGTTGTGGATCGCCCGAGAACTTGCGTCTATCTGGTATCCCTTAACGTTCACACTCATCCCACAGTAAACGGTTCTCTATGCTCGGCTCCATCGAAATGTGACCACAGCAGACTGGGTCCAACCTGTAACTTTCGCGTTAGCAGCCGCACACCCAAGCTGCACAAAAGTGTGGCGGACCACAGTTATTTATTTTTCTTTATTATATATTTATGTATTTTGCTTTCCCTATCTAAAATACGTTTATTTTGATTTGTAGAGTATAGTAAAAAATGAATAAATGCCCTTCAGCAATTTTCCATCCTATACCTCTGTCACACGGCCACCACCAAACTCCGTTGAACACCGTCAACGTAAATCTCCCCTAGGGGGGTTCGACGGAGAAGGAGTTGTGGCAGTGTCACACGGCAATGACAAGGTTGTAACAGTTGCCGCGAGGGGGCTCAGCTGGCGCTGTTGGATTTTCGGAAAAGTATTCTATTTTCATCTCTATTAATTTTTTGTGAATCCTCGTTATGCTGTTTTTACAAAAAAGCACAATTAAGTAGGTATGCGACTAACAAACCATTAAAAATAATTTCAAATAAAAATGCATTTGCTGAATGTAGTGATGCTGCTAGTGATGCCGGCCACATTGTGCGTTCTGTTGTTTTGTTGCCTGTGTACATGCCCGGAACGAAAGTTCTTATGCTTCCTTGCCTCGTGAGCGCACATTTTGTGTTCTTCAGCCATGAGTGACACAGCGGACGACGTGAGGAAGTGGTACGATATTGCACTGGTAACGACGTGGATCGGCTAGTGCCGGCCGGCCCGACTCACGAGGCATGGTGAGTAGGGCATCGGTGTTGAGAGTAAGTAAACTCTGGCGGGCGCAAATATATGTAAACAAACACGCGTTGTGAATGAGTACTACAACGAAAGAACGTTTATTATTGCCGAAATGTATTATTCTTTCACGGCGGCCACTTAGTGCTCGAAATTTTTCTCTGACCTCTAGACTGCTGGGAACGAGAGTACCTCGTTTCGCTGCCAAGGGAGATCGTTGAACGCCCTTTGCGAAATGCTCCGTTTACCTTCGTTTGCGTAAGGGTGGCCGTGTGACACGGACTGCATCTTCGCTGTCGTAAGGACGAAGGAGTTAAACGGTCTTCGCGAGTGCCCGTGTGACAGGGGTATTAATCACAACTGACATGGTTTGACTCAAGCGTCCATGCGTGTACTACAGGTATCACTTTTGTTCAGAGCCTACGCGGATCATTTAACAATTATACTGCACTTTAAAGCAGATTTTTACGTTCTTCCTAACAAGAATATTTTTCGCCGCTGAAAGAAACGAACACAAGTATGAATGATGTCTAAACAAGGGCACATATCCACGTCTCACACCCACAAGACAAGTTGTCGTTTTAAAGCCAACACAAGCTCAAGAAAAAAAAAACACCCCGTGCAATTACCAAGCCGTTTGCTCTTTAAAAGCCTGCTGGGCTCAAAGCGATCCCCATAATACTTATTTTTTATTAACTAGAGGCATCAATCTCAGGTTAAGCATGGTGTAGGTAGAGGCGGCTTGTTGACTCGTTATTTTGGTTCAATAAAAAGGTCTAAAGATGCGTGGAAAACTAAGGTGTATTTATTAGGTGTTCTATCACACAATGAATCAGAGATCAAACAAAAAGACCAGAGTGAACTTCGTGGCACTGGTTGAGGCTCTTCTGACGGTCAAGACATGAGAATAGCCACGAAATATGCAAATAATGGGCGAGAAGGTATTAAAAGTCGCTCTCCATCGAAAATTCGTCTCCATCGAAAATTCAGTAGCTGTCTCAAGCTTTGAAAAACTGTGCATGATACAACTGATGTTGTGCTGCCCTAATTATATATTTATTCATGCATTGAAATCATTTCTGAATTCCGTCAGTACGCTTCTTCGCTGTTTGCTCTCTCCCAACTTTTAGTTCTATACTTTCCTCATTCCAGATTGAACGCTTAGGAAATTGCTCTCTTGGATGAGTTTTCAGAATTGCCCATCATTTAAAACGTGCAATGGGCCATACTTCAGTTATTTTACTATACCTTATGTGTGAGGACATCGACGAATGTGTGTTCTACAGAAGACGGTGCCCTATGTTTTCTACGGGTAATGAGTGGACAATTTTTGTACACACGTGGCGGCAGATCCGGCTGCACTCCAAAGGATCGTTCTGCCACGTTAATTTCCGCGTGCGATCGAGACGTACTGGATGCATTATGCCAGTTTTATAGCAAGCTAAAAACGCTGAACATAACAACGCCGTGTTGCAGTGACGGTGGCGTAGATATAAACAAGACGCGCGAATAGAGTGTAAAATTAGGCTTAAACATCAAGCGTAGAATTTATGGTAGTCAAAACTCCCACTTTGTACAGTGGAAGTTGTAGCGCGTGACACGACTAAATATAGTGATTCATTGCAAGTTGCTCCGGTATGGCGCCTTCTTCGCGACAGCGAGCTTCCCATTGAGATGTAACAGTGCTGCAAGAGGACGCTTGTCATCATCTGCGTTTGTATGAGGCTTTCCAACGGGATGTGTCTACGAAGAATAAGCGCCACAGGATTTTCAGATCTCACACCCAAATTTCAGTTGTATGCTTGGTTTTCAAATTTTTATGCGTATGTAACAGTTATAATATGTATCAGCACACAAGTCGCAAGCGAGCCGGAAAACTAAAAATAAACTACTAAGAATGTGCAAGATTGCAGCTCAATGAATCGTCGACACTACAATGTCACATTTTTATTGAACAAGAGTTTCGAAACAACCAGTGAATTACGATGTTCATTCAAATAGCTGCAAGGCCCACCGCCATAAAGAAGCCATACGAAATTAGGCACACAGCGCAAGTGCGAAATGGCAACTTTATTTAGAGGGGGGGGGGGAGATTTGTTATTCAAGCTACCCAATTGATGACGTGATGAATAAGCGATAATTATTTATTAGATAACATTTCCAACTGATTGCTGGTCAACTGATATGTCAACAGTACCAAGTAAAGACTAAGTTTACAAAAAATTCACTCTATGAACAAAACTCTTGATTATTAACGTGATGTATTGGTGTGATGTAGAACTAGTGCGTGTGACAAGGGAGTAACCAGAAAAACACAAGAAACAAGCATCGTCGTGCAGCAGATGCCATGCTAGACACTCGTTCAACCGTTTTGTACAGGAAGTGGTGGTCATACAAGATCATCGTACTCTCGTGTCTGCGTCGTGACCAACGATTGAAAACTGGAGAAAAAAATTGCTTACGAATAAATCAATCTCGTAGTGAGCATTTGGCCCGTATTTTGCGATAGACAGTGTGTCTTTACGTCCATGAGATAGCTCTTGTTGATTTAATTATGGCAAAGTGTAAATGATGAGCTGCGAACGAAGTGGTGACAGCGGCTACAAAATTTTTGAAAGGATTTGTCAAGACGACATTTACCGCATCGGATGTGTATGCTCTGACGCAGTTGTGATAATGAAAGAACCAACTTTAGGCTGCATCGTCAAGATCTCTACGGGGAGGACAACTTCAAAACACTTTTAACACGTTAAGATTGCTGTGATTGAGGCAAGCACTGTGGAATGTCTGAATTTATTTATAGGGTAGAACGCGTCGTTCCTTATACATGAATACATAAAATTGAGTACGTATCTATTGAGCACAGATGTTTCAGTCAACACTCCATAGATTGCACCGAGTGAGAAACAAGTACCGAACGTTTGAAGACTTTTGGTAAGTCATGCTACGTTTAGCCACCTTCTTCAACACGTGTACGTCAACATGTCGTAACTAGGTTTCGCGTAGTGAAACCCAGTTACGACATGTTTGTCAGTGTGATATAGCATATTCATGAAGTATACAGGACTGTTTAGTTGTAATAAGAAGAGACTATACTATGCACGAGATGCCAACTCACAGTAATTTGGAAAGAACTTTGACATGGTATTGAATTTTCTGACCTACCGTACATTCATTCACGCATGGTACCGGAATCTCGCCGGCTGCAATCAGTCTTGTACTCTAGCATAAATTATCTTTGGAAGTTTTTGGTAGCTATGGCAAAAGACTAGATATTCTGTACTAATGAAGACAAGCAACGTTTATTGCCAGCTCGCAATGGTGATTAGGAGCATTTTTTTGTGCTAATACAGTGTGCTCCAGCTAACTTTAATGAGTGTTCAAAATATGCCGACACAATAAATTACGACGCCACCAAATGCATGTTGCTTAAAGTTGTCTGGAGTGAATCAGACTATTTTTGGATTCAGATCAAATGTTTAAATAGACCATTTTAGCAAACTTCTTAAGCAACATTGATGGGTCAAGAATTTCAACAAGAAAGTTGTACATTGATCTGCAAACTGTCCGATAAGACAGTTTAATAATTTGTATGTGTTAGTTATCAGTGTTTTTCTGCTAACTACAAATGGCCGCAAATTACAAAGATATATAACGTGTCAAAGCCTGTGGCTCACCTACGTGCACCGTGATTCAGGTGCTCCCTAACGTTCCGCCTACAATCTGTACGCTTCGTTTTCATGACAGTGAAAAGCAGTCACAACGGTTATTTATTTTGTGGCTGATAGCGAAAAGTGTTAATCGCGAAGCCACTACTATTGTTGCGGCCCAGACGAGACATCACAATCAGGAAACTGGGTCGTTCGTGCGCCTAACGTTAGGGAAGCACTAGAATCATTGCTCACACTGGCATGCGAGCGGGCTTGTCGCATGGTATTTTGTGCATCGCGCGGGCTTTTGCAGTTGGTAGGAAAGCTTTAAAAACTAATCAGATGTAAAGCTCCAGACTGTCTAGTCCGACGCTTTGGACACTGATGAAGAACTTTCTCATTGGAATGTCCAGCCCATTTTCGTTGCTGAGAAAGTTAGGTAATAAAAGTGCCTAATTAGGCAATTATTCAGAACACAGAGAATAGTCTGACTCACTACAGGAAACACTCACCAACATGCATTTATTGACGTCATCATTGCATGTGTCGGCATATTTCAAACTTTGGCTAAAGATAGTTGGGGCACCCTGTATATAAGACCCGGCTGTATAGTGTTGAAAGTCTGTTGCGTTCAAAGTGTATGCTGTGGAGACGTTGAGGGTCATATACGTCAGGTGCTTCATATCAGATAAGTTCTGTAGCGGAAAAAAAAGTTGGCTGAGTATGACTCACTTTGGATCTTATTTCTTTTTCGCTTCTGATAGTTGTTGGTGCAGCCTACTTTTACTGGCTTAAACACTAACACTTGTTTGCTTAAACACGTGTTGTAATGCTGCCATATTTATATGAATATGCGCCATTAAACGTCGCTATTCATCTTAAAGGTATACTTGAATATTCTCAGCCAAACCGTAATACAACAGAATTAGAAAGGTGTGATTATCCGGTCTCTTTGAATTACATATAGAAACAAAGATTGAATACAATGCAAAACATGGGATACGAGTGTTATGTTGATAAAATACGTTTCCACACATTATGAATGTGAAAACATACCAGTGACAGGGGCAGAAGGCGACCTGTACAGGGACTGTATCTATGGCAATCCGACATTCTACGAAAAATATGCCTCTCCTAATGAACACTACCTTAGGCGAGAAATAAACTGCACTGCTTGACTGATTATGCTGACGCATCTAACGAAAATAAACTTTGTTTCTCAATCCTCCCGTGGGGTTGGATTAGGAAGAACATCCTTTGTTGGGATATTATTATACCCATTACAGCTATTACAATACTATACGTCCGCTATGCCTGTCACGTTCTACTCGTTCTGTTGAAGTCTTTGCAATAGTGGTTCAGTCTACTGGAGCTGCTTTGGTATTGCAGCTAATCGAAACTGCTTGCGTGGTTCTTTATACATTTAAAAAATAAATGTTAAGATTTGAAACGGTGACCGCATTGCGAGAAGTGACATTATAGACATTTTTGGTTCTATACCAATGCTAGGCTACGTACTTTTCCGATTGACAATCCACAAGAATCACCCCGTCACTTGCATTGTAGTTTGGTAAGGAGACTCACTGCTTGGAGATAAGATTTTTTGGCGATCCATGGAATTAGTTCTTGTTTTATCCTACTGCTACGTGGATATAAGAAGACATGTAGAGAAACCGAAGTTGGATATGACCAACTCGGTGCCGCAACAATCTAAGGTGGTAAATGCCTGCTCTTGCAAATATGTCTTTTCAACGCAACTTCATTTTTATTCAGCATCTAGTTCTTCCTTGTGTTAAATAAGTGTACACTCCTGATTAACATGCATCCGATGTAACTTTCTCTTCAACCACTACCACGTAATTTGGGTTACGTTAATTATGTGGGAAGTGCATCTTAGCGTACTGCACGGAGTTGAGCGTTTTCATCTACGCCCTCATTTTTCTATTCACATAAATCCGGGTGCTCTCGTGACTGTGTCATTTTGAGTAGACCAAAATTACTGTGCGAGGCTGAGAGGCCGGACGGAATGGGCCGGTTTGCTCATGACACTAATAACTTGAAAATGTTATTGTCTACAATGTCAAAGAAATTTTGCCAGACACGGGTAGTACATTGCTATAAAACGGACCGCAGTACGCGGGTATGCGCCACCACTGACTTCCAATTTATATCTGTCCAGAAACAGCGAGAACACACAATGATGAATAATTGTGAGTGTGAAGAAAAACACCAAGCCTGGTTGGAAGCTGCAGCACACTCGCAGCAAAAGCTGGAAGAACAGTCTTTCTGGAGCTATTTAAAAAAAAGTCTTTGAGTTAATGCGCAAAACGCACTCGCAGAATACCGACTGCGTCATGAATTGTCGTAACTTCGGCGTAGCAGGGGCCATTGCTTTTAACATATTTCGTCATTTTTAGGAGAAGCGCGGAACACTCATCACAATTGCAAAAATTTTATGTGCAGTATTTTTCAATGCGGAGACTGAAGCTTTTGAATGGGCTGATTGATTTGACAAACCTGTCGTTACGCAATGGGCATACTGTGTGACGACTGGTAGTTTCTTTGCTGTTCTGAAACGCTTCATCATTTATACTAACGCGATTCTCCTCACGACGTTAAGCCTGCATAGGGTCAGTTTGCAGTGAAGTGTGAAGCAATGAAGTTTTAACCATTGGAGTGGCTTAGTGCTACACTGAACTGGCACAAACGAGAGCCGGTTTTGAATGACATTACGTCTCTAATGTTTTTTTTTACTTAGTTCTTTTCGTTAGTTCACCCGATAGTGGTTACAAACGCCGGTGGCGGCGGCGAAAAACTACTGCACCGAAAACAAGGCTTGTTGTGCTGGCATAACATCTTTCGCTGCAAAAATCAGTATGTACGCCAAAGAAATGCTCAGCCTATTCCGCCATGCCAACAAAACAAATGTCACTACAACAATGCTTATAAGTTGGTTCCATAGGCACAAGTCTGTGGACTGCCAGATGTGTATTATGCAGTCGCTCTCTAAAAAGCTTCTTGCGCGTCCGAATTTTAGGCAAGCCATCTTTCGAAAATTCGTGCACCAAAGGAATGTCCTTGTAGCCCCAAAAGAACACTCCTTGTACTATACTCTTGTAGCCTTTGCGGAAACTTTACTTGCATAAGGAGGCGGGCTGTTGCAGATTTCGTGTTATATTGCAATGCTAACAGCTGCATGTTTGGGTCCTGACCACAGCACTAAGACACAGCTTACGAAAGCACGTTCTTCTTTTGTGACAGTTTAGTAATTTCTTTGGACATTACACACTTGCAGAGGTCGCACCGGGGAAACGAAGAAGCGTGGCCTTGAATCTCCAGGCAATTGGTGGTTACCTTCTAGGCTTACAAGGTTAATGAAAGAAATTATCCACTGATTGTTTTAACCTCCATGAACAATTCGAAAGAACTTCTTTCACATTTTACAGTTTATCATGGTACCATATAAAGATGTAACGCTAAACGGCAGTCCTTAGAATACACTCTAAAAAAAGAGCGAGTAAGAAGGGTGTCTTTTTGTCCCACAACAATAATCGTAATCTATATTGCGTTCCATCCTTGTGCTATCGCCCCGCGCCCGGTACATTGCGGTCACGATCGACATGCCCATTATCAGGGTTACATTGCATTCTCGATAGGGAAGTGGCCAGCGCCGAGTTTTCAAGAAAGGAAGCGCACGCAAGCCTGATGACGACTATTGTTATGCGACAAAAAGACACCCTTTTTACACTATATTTTTAAGATGTAAGAGACAGGTCAGCTTTTAAAAAGTTTGCTTTCTCGGTTCACTGGAAGTCTGGAAGTCATTCGACGCATTTGGCATTTCAACTCGTGGTGGACACCGTGTTGACAGGCTTGAAGGAAAATATTTGCACTGTCTACTAGGATGGCATAACTGTCTACGCATCAAACATTGATGAACACCTTTGACTTTATGAAACAGTGCTTCAAGTATTCGGGTAACGTGTGTTAATAATAATGTAATTTGGGTATCATGTCCGAAAACCAGCCTGAAGCATCTCAATGAAGGTAAGGGTAGAACAATCAAAGTGTTGCTTTGAATACGACAATGTTGTCTTAGTAAACGTTATTAGCAGCTTAGTGAACTTCAAGTAAACCTCATAGTAAACACAACAAACTTTTAGGTCGCGCAGCACAATAGAGCCTCCGGCTTAGGGAAATGCCTTTCAACGCCGTATGCAAACTATAAAAAAAACACTCTGATGTTGACAGCATTGGCTCAGCACCCGATAACATTTTCTAAACGACAAACTTGACGAAGACAGCTTCTTGGAAGCCTTGAAAGCTGCGTACTTCGCCGAACAAAGTCAACCTAATATTGAGCTGCGAAATGGGGAAGTATACGTGAAACGCAAAGCAACGGTTGTCCCTTGGTGCTCAGGTGGGACTTCTAATGGCGGGGTCATCTTCGACGTGTTTTCGTAACACAAATAAATTCGCAACAGTGCACAATGTTTGATTACAAAGATCACAAAGAAGCTTTTTTGCCAAGTGATCAGGTTTCATCAACAGAAGTTGGACCGAATATTTCTTGGTTCCTAACAGAACCAAGAGAGACGCTTGCGTGGCCGCTGACTCCTAAAAATCCGTTGAAACGTGTCCTTTTTTTCTTGCGCCTTCTCTCGTAGGGCTCTTGGTCGGAGGAGTTATGTCAGCATCTGCGAGAAGTAAAGTGAAGTAAATTATTACGACCACGGCATCTGCTCCTGCAACGCGTCATTGCTGCACATGTGTCCCAGTCTGCACGTTCCGAAGGAGTTGGCTGCAATTTTGTCAACGCCTTTACACGCTGAGTGGTGGCAACCTTAGTCCAAACGTCAGTGTCAGCCACATCATTAACTCATACTGAATAGCTCTGTGGCGCACATCTGTCTCGTCTTGCTGTAAGACCATGTACACCACTTGCACTCTCAGTGAGCAAAATCTCGACTGGGCTGGAAAGAATACACCATGAGCGTTGCGCTTTAGGAACGAATTACTGTAAGACCACAAAATTTCCTTCCGTCCAAAAACTACTACTCGACGTGAATGACAGATGTAGAAACCAAAACATGTGTGTGTAAAAGTACGGTTATGAAAAGGCTGTTAACCAGCAAAACAAATTAAAAGGAGGCAACGCCAAAAATACGCCTGGCCATTAGATCACCAATCAATAAAAGAATATTGTGGAAAAACCAACCGTACCCACCACGCTGCATAGTAGCGGTAGTATTACGTAAATGTTGCGTAATTAGGTACAATTTGGGAATGTTTAGTTTTTATTTTGTCTTTATATTTATTAACTGAAGGAGAAGCATTGCATTCAACCACTGGTGAAACGCGGATGATGCGTTGTGCCAGACTGCTGGTTTCACGTACTGTTACTTCTATTGCCTACACTCGTTGAGCGAATTGTCAGGTCAAGCAAAAACCGAATATGCCCTTCTCTGAATTCTAAACGCACTATCCAGGGCAGTGAATGGTTGTGCAGTGATAGCAGTCGGTGTTTACTAGCAGACGCTGCCTGCGTCAGCCTTGTAAAGCGAGAAAGAAAAGGGGAGGGACAGTAGGCACAATATCAACGCCGACTAAATTTCACTTAGTCGGCGTAGACGATATGCCAGCATGTGGCATGAGACCACTAACGCGAGCACGCGCAGCTGGGTTATCGATGACTTCGCCGACGCCAGATTTGTCAGTAGGTGCGACGTTAAAATGCTCCATGCTTAAAATAAATACATAAAAACAAAATAAATATTGGCCCCACCTGCCCGAAAATAATCGTGAGGAAATGCGAATGCATTGGGTAGAGCCCATGAAGGCGTTTTGCACGTCAGAACCTATCGTCTTTGTTCACCTTTGTCACTTGCCATGCGTAACCGAAAGAATAAACGAGAAATAAAAGAAGGCTAAGGAAATGAATGACCACTTCACGTCTCCTTTCCTAGACGGCGTTACCCTCCCGCCACTCTCTAAAGTGCCGCTACTCTCCGGTTGGCGTCTCCGCGCACTTTTCTTGAGTGCGCGGAGAACGAGTGCCTCTGTCAGTCTCCGGGATAGGCGCCGTACGTGGCGGTTCGTTAGTGGGACATAGACGAAGCAGAGCGGCGGGTGCGTTGAAGACGCGCTCGGCTTCATTGACTCGCCTCTTGTCAGTGTTACCCGCGTGCCGTTTGCATTCTCGAACAAGATCAGATGCTTGAACGCATGCACTGACGGATGGACGCACGGATGGATCGACGGATGGACGTTTCGCCCCACTCATCATCATTCACTTCCTGGATACGCTGTGATTTTTTTTCTTACACCGTGAAGCCAATAGCGCCATTCACCACACCTATAAACAACCATCTAATCGGGTAGGTTGGACATGACTGAATAAACATCATATTTCCGGTGTTTTATTTCGCACTGAAACCGTACCTAACTGCACCGCTCTGTAGTAAGACTGCACACGGGTACTAAGATACAAATAATAAAAGTAGGATGTATTTTGCGACGGTTTATTATCAATTGAAAGCGCAAAGATAATGGAAGGCAACACAATTAAACATATGCAATCACTTTCAAGGTCATTTACACCGTGCTATATAATGTGCCCAGGACAAAGCATGCGTTTCCACACATACTGAAGCGTATGTGTGCCGTGTGTATGTGTTTATGGACGTGTAGGCTCAAGTATGCCAATTCAAGCTATTTCTTTTACAGCCCACCTACGACTAGTTTAACTGAGAGTTCTTCCGAACCACCTCCTTTAGTATACTGCTCTGTCACATCACTCTGCGAAAAATAAAGGAAGAAAAGCTGTACCAAGGTTCCTTCTATAGAGGAGTAACTAACCTGTCATAGCTATGTCTCACTTCATGAGGTAATTGTAAAGTTATTCCAGTTTTCGCGGTTACTGTTCAAGGAAACAACAGTGATTTGGGGCAAAAGAAGTGACATAATGGTTGTATTGATCAGCATTTTGAACGGCGTCTAGGCGCGCAATCAGATGTACAGTTGACATGCAAGCATGCTATTCGCAAATAAATTGCCGAAAATTACAGAGAAACAGCACGCAGTATTCCAACTTATGACCACACAACAAGCATTCGCGCTGCACCAACTACTATACCACACCAGGCTACGGTACCGTATGGAAGGAAACAGGTTTAGGTTGGCGCCGATAAGTCGTTTGCACAGTGGTGCGAACAATCCTGTGGTTACTCCAAAAAGGGCGCTTTTCTCTAAAAGGAAGAAAGCGCATTTCGCACTGTAAGTCTGCTCTCTTTTGCACATATTTTGTCTTTTGTACTAGCAAGCACCCTTGTTGGTTAAACTGAGCAGTCATTTGGGAAACCTTTTCACAGGGTAGCGTTGTATAACAAAATGATAATCGCACCTACGACATATGAAGTAAGTGCTTTAAAGAAACAGCTGCTTCAACTTATTGTCTATATTTTGACTTACGTATATAAAAAGCCTTCCTAAATATGCTATTTCGATCGATTTGCTTGAGCTATTCGAAGCGACAGTGCATAACGCACAATCCTGCTGGCACAGTTAACATGGGTGTTATAAATGGCATGCTTGTCTTCATATTACGCCGCAGCTGTTCATCGAAAACTAGTGGCACGTTTTTAGGAATGGCGTAGCAAAAAAATGCATTGAAACGATGAATAATAAAAGTATAGCGTGAATAGTAAGTCATTACATAAACGAGCATGAGAAGGAGTGCTACCTGCAGAACGCTAAAAGTGTGCTTTTAAAGCAGATTTTAAGAATGTACATATCAATGCCGGAATGTATGCTAAGACAGGTTTGTCTTTCAGCTAACCCAATACGATGGTGGCATTTCGCCTAGATGTTGTACACTTGCTGGGCTTTTTTTATTATCTCTCTATGTTGCATTTTGTACAAGGTAAGTATTTTTCCTCTGCTAATAGCAACATATAGCTTAACTAAGTAGCAAGTACAGGCCGAAGCACAACCTTGTCAAGGTTTGTCTATTTCACGTTATACTTAGAAGCCATTTATTGCGCACCACTAAAGTGATTTGAATATGGTTGGTTTGCCAATACCTCCACCAAAAATCGAAGTGTACTGTTAGATCTACTTTGCTTTGAGCAGCAGCATCAACATATTATATATAAGAAGAATTTTGATGATGATGATGATGATTCGAGACAATCGTTTGGACAATCTGCACATAGCTCTAAATGCGAAGCATTTCTAAGCGAACTTCGGCGACATTGAGCGTATTATCTATCTATCTATCTATCTATCTATCTATCTATCTATCTATCTATCTATCTATCTATCTATCTATCTATCTATCTATCTATCTATCTATCTATCTATCTATCTATCTATCTATCTATCTATCTATTTATCTATCTATCTATCTATCTAGCCGCCTACGCCATTTAGCTCTCCTGGCCGTTTCGATAATGATATCAATGCCAAACTTGGTATGGCATAACAAGACTGTATGAAGAGCATATTTGACTAGTCATGACATGAAACTCATGGCATGAATGTGTTGATTTGCGTTGTCTGCATTCATGGTCCTGAAGCTCTTGCAGTAGTTTCGTTCACACGCCATTTTGCAAAACTGGTATATAATGACATGATTGCATGGCGAACACAAGCGACAGACCCTAACATAAAAATCATGACATGCGTGTCTTGTAATAACATGACTACATGTCACGCTCTTGATGAGCTGGCAGGCGTTTCGCTAGCTTCACTTATACGAGATTTGGTATTGCAGGACGTGAATGGATGACGAAGGTATGATACTGGTGTAAACATGATAAAAATGAGATGCGTGTCATGTGACAATATGACTACATGCTACACTCATGACGCACTCGCGATGGTTTCGCTAGCTTCACACGTATCAAAATCGGTATTACGTGACGCGAACGGACGACATAGGTAAATGACGTATCCAAACATGATAATCATGGATATCTTGTCATGTAACAACATGACTACATGCCACACTCATGATGCGCTCGTGGCTATTTCGCTAGCTTCATATATGGCGAACTTGAACTTACGTGACGCAAACAGATGACGAAGGTATTTGACTTGTGCAAACATGATTATCATGAGATGCTTGTCACGTGAGAACATGACTACATGCCGCAGTCAAGGTTTCAAGAGATTTCGACCTGACGCGGTGCGCGTGCTCACCGGCGTTCATTTCGTCGCGTCACGCCAGCGTTGCCACGCCAGGCACCGGTCCTGCCATATACTCGCAGGCGCGCTCCACACTACGTTGCTTTGACGCATGCACGTTTCAGCGCGTCCGGCGTTCCTCCGTCACGAAAAGAGAGAGACGCAGTGTTGTCAGGGTAATACAATTGCGCGAATTTTGCGCCGGTTGCCATCGGGCCGCCCCGACGGACGCTGGTCATGCCGGTCGCACCTGGCGTCAAACTAGAGCGTGCTCGCGTTTTGCTAATGTAGCATCGCTGGGCCCAGCTTGCGCGTGCGCCAATGCTACATTGAAGTATATAATTGGGCCTTCTTGATAATCTCGCGGCCGTTTTCCTAGCTCCACATATACCAAAATTGGGGTTATGTGACGTCAATAAATGACGAAATATATGAGTGGTGCAAACATCATAATCCTGCCAGGCGTGTCATGTGAGAACATGGCAGCATACCTCGCTAATAGCGAGTTCTCGGTCGTTTCGCTCGGTCCACAATTTGGTATCACGTAACGTGAATCGATGAAGGTAAATGACACATTAAAACATAATAAGTATGACAAGAAAGTCATGCCTGGCATAATTTAGCTCCACCTCATAACGTTGTGCGGATCTTAAAGGGACATATCAACATTTTTCATTCGTGCTTCGCATATTGCCACGTTCCATTTCTCAAGTTTTGTTATCGCGAGGGCTGACGGACTTGAAAGAGGGTTGACGGACTTGAAAGGGTTATTAGTTACGCCAGCCAATCGCTATCTAAAGCACAAGCGAATTATTCCACAACCGAAAAGGAGTGCCTCGCCATCATCTGGGCTACGTCAAAATTTCGCCCCTACCTTTACGGCAGGCCCTTCAAAGTTGTGAGCGACCTCTACAACTTGTGTTGGCTAGCCACCTTGAAGGACCCTTCAGGTCGCCTCGCACGATGGAGCCCGAGACTTCAAGAATACGACATTACCGTCGTTTAAAAGTCCGGCAAGAAACACTCAGACGCCGACTGTCTATCTCGTGCGCCTGACGACCAACCACCACCCGACGACCCGGATGACGACTACATCTTAGGAACGATAACTACCGACGACTTCGCTGAACGACAGCGGGCCGACCCGGAACTTAAGGCCCTAATAGAATACCTCGAAGGCAGGACTGCCGAAGTCCCGAAGGTATTCAAGCGCGCACTTTCGTCGTTCTTCCTGCGAAACGGTCTTCTCCAAAAGAAAAAAACTTTTCACCGCTTCGAGCCAAGTACCTCCTTGTGGTGCCTTCAGCTCTGCGACCAGAACTCCTGCAGGCCCTGCACGACGATCCAACAGCAGGGCACCTCGGTGTTTCTCGCACGCTCGCGAGGATACAAGAAAGGTACTATTGGCCACGTATTACCACCGACGTCACTCGTTATGTGAGGACATGTCGGGACTGTCAACGACGCAAGACACCACCGACAAAGCCGGCGGGACTTCTGCAGCCAACTGAACCACCTCACCGACCCTTCCAGCAGATTGGTATGGACTTACTGGGGCCGTTCCTGACGTCGGTTTCCGGAAAGAAATGGATCGTGGTAGCTACCGACTACCTCACCCGCTACGCCGAGACGAAAGCCCTGTCACAAGGCACTGAATCCGAGGTAGCTAAGTTCTTTGTCGAAAATATTGTCCTACGTCACGGTGCCCCGGAGGTCCTTTTCACCGACAGAGGAACGGCATTTACTGCTGACCTAACTCAAGCGATCTTGGCATACAGCCAGACAAACCACCGCCGGACGACAGCGTACCACCCACAGGCGAACGGCCTCACCGAGCGGCCAAACAAGACGATCGCCGACATGCTGGCAATGTACGTCGACGTCGAACACAAGACGTGGGACGCCATTCTTCCGTACGTGACCTTCGCAAAGAACACGGCGGTGCAGGAGACGACGCAGATATCTCTATACAAATTGGTCTACGGAAGGAGCCCGGCAACGACGCTCGATGCCATGTTACCCAACGTCACCGACGAAGAAAACCTCGATGTGAGTGAGTACTTTTAACGCGCCGAAGAAGCCCGACAACTCGCGCATCGCCGCATCAAGAATCAACAGACGAACGACAGCCGCCATCACAATATTCGACGACGCTTCGTGGAATACCAGCCAGGTGAACGTGTTTGGGAGTGGACGCCAATACGCCGACGTGGACTAAGTGAAAAGCTTCTGCGACGGTACTTCGAACCGTACAGGGTGGTTCGACGTCTCGGCCTTCTTGATTACGAGGTTGTCGCCGACGGCATCACGAACTCTCAACGACGCCGATCGTGACCTGAAGTCGTCCATGTCGCGCACCTCAAGCCGTTTCATGCGCGTTAACAAACTGAAACAGTGTTTTTTGTTTTAATATTGTATCGTAATTTATTCATTGTACTCTCTTGCATTATTATTGTACCTTCATCTTTATTTAAAAGCATTGAGACGATGCCTTTTTTTCAGAGGGGGCAAGGCCACGTTGCATTTCTCAAGTTTTGTTATCGCCCCAAAACACTAAACAATCCTCAGCACAAAACGTGCGCGCAGTTTTCGAGAAGCTTCTGGACTTTAGTAGATCATTTCGATAAGATGACGCCCACTCTGCGAACTGCACAGATTATTCTGGAACCTAGGCCACCGCCAGCGATAATGCTAGAACATTCGATGGCAAGAGTATAAATGCCGACGCACTTTGCCGCTTGTCAGTAGTTTATCGACGGCCGACGCTCCGTTCACCGCTATCAGTCCAAGACTGCTATTGTAATCGGACTTTCCGTTTACCGGGCACAGGTTCGCCCAAATAAACAGTTAAATTCCAACGCAAAGTCTCCTGTCTTCGGCCACGTCACGATCCCGTGACAATATCATCGTTTCCCACTGTACGTGGGATCTGCCAGTTTTTTTATGTTCATATTGTCATCATAAATTTAGCATGAGCCCAAAAGCACGCTCCAAATATGGCTCATCAGATACTCAGCTATCTCTGTTCTGATAACTATACTGCGCACAATCTTGAAATAACTTCTTAATAGACTTGGCCCTGTTTGACTATGAACTTAAGTGTAATTGCAGAAAGTATATTCATAAATACCCCCCAACTCCGTAGAGGTAAGCCAGCGAACCCAGCAGCTGTGGCCGAGGCGGCTCGTTTTGCAGCCAGAACCTTCGCGTCATGTTGTGCGCTTTCGCACAACTCTGTGCGTCAGGGTTCTTTCTATTTCCCCTGCTCTTACTCAGAGTAAACGACACGCGTCTGTACCGATGCCTATTTCATGGAAGGAAGAAAGAAGTAGCAGCAAAAAGAAATGCATAGAAGTAAACTAGTCCAGAAGGACTGCACAAGAGAAAGGCGTCGAACAATATTAAGGATGACGGTTGCTGACAATAGCGCTGCCTCTAAACTCTGGGTCAAGAAAAAAAGGACACGAAAGGAGGCATCGTCACGTGTCGTATTGCCTGAGAAAGAGACATACTTGACGATGAGGCGGCGTGCGGAACGTAAGGCCAGTAAGTGATGAACGGAAGCCAGACGTGCCACAACTTCCGCTTGGACGCTTTTTTTTTACACAGACAGGGTACGCCGGCAACTAGTCAGAAACGGCTTTGCTACGAAAAAAGGCTGGTCATTTTATGAAGCCATGCTACGAATTTTCCATCGCAAATCGCTATTTGCCTCACCACTTTGCGTGCACCGAG